TCTCCACAGAGACTGCCAGCCCTGCTGAGCTTTGCCAGCAATTTCTGTTTTTGTTAACGTAGCCGGCTGCCTTGTCTACAAAATGCTGAAAAGCTGATTCAGAAAGACTCACTGTGTTCTCTTCAGGTGTTTTGCTGACACCTAAGAGGATGTCTTAATCAAAAACAGAAATTGCGGGGAAAATTGCTGCTGTTTTTGTTTCTGATTTCTAGCATCTGCAGTTCTGTTTGTATTTTGTTTAGGATGTCTTAATATTTGGTGAACTCATTACTTATGCAAACATCTTGAAGGCATATAACTGGATACAATTTATTTTCATCTTGGAAGTTGACTGGGGGGTCACTGGCAGGCAGACTTCTGACTGCAACACAAACTTCAACGTAGTTCTTAAAGACAGTCAAAAGTATTTAATGTATGCATGCAGATTGATGGCAAGGAAAGTTGAATAGAAAAAAAAACTTAACAGTGTGCATATATATTTCATTGACAAGAGTATAGGAATTCCTTTAATTCTCTAAATCAATGGAAATGAGGCATGATTACCCTCCAGCACCATCTTGGCAGCTGCTGAAAATCCCTTTCCATTTATGACTTATGGTAAAGAAAAATCACTTCTATCCGCAACTTCACTTTTGCCTCTAGGTTTTGATTTTTAATAAGGTAGTAGAATCTACCTCTTCTCAAGAAAAGGCACTTTCAATATTCATGCATTTAACCTTTAAGAAAAGCTGTTGAAAGCAAACATCTTTGAAAAATTCACTGGTATCAGATGGATGGATTGGCATCCACTACTTAAGGTCCTAAATCGCGCATCATCCAAATCTTCCAATTACAAAAATTAAGCTTTATATCAGAGAGGGGATCATTCATATGTAGTTATTCTGTTCACTCGAGGGAATTGATTTTGTAAAATTGAATGCGTGCGTTTGAATCTGAGCCTTGGTTAAAGGATAGGATGGGTCGTGAATCAGCACTGCACTTGCATAGTATGCAGGGTGAGAATACAACCGTGAGAGCTGGCGTGCAGTATGAAAGCTTGGCCACATGCAGGAGCTTCTGGGTGAGCAAGTGACACAGAGTAGCTGGGTGGAAGCCGCGCAGCAACCATTATTGGTTCAACTCAGAAGGTAAAATCTGCGTGGCCTGCCAGAATAATTCACAAGATCGCAGAATCATAGAATCCCTACAGTGTGGAAACAGGACCTTCGGCCCAACAAGTCCACACCGACCGTAGGAGCATCCCACCCAGACCCATCCCCCCTATAACCCACCTAATCCACACATCCCAGGACACTATGGGCAATTTAGCATGGCCAATCCACCTAGCCTGCACATTTTGAGACTCTGGTAGGAAATCCACGCAGACACGGGGAGAACGTGCAAACTCCACACAGACAATTGCCCAAGGGCACAATCGAACCCAGGTCCCTGGTGCTGTGAGGCAGCAGTGCTAACCACTGAGCCACCATGCCACCCCAGTAGTAGTTGTATTTGATGCAGCTGTATCTGTGATGTTATAGGAATATGCACCTGCAAATTCCTTCCAAGCCCCGCACCACCTTGACTTGGAGTTATATCACTGTCAAAATCCTGGAACATACTTTCTAATAGCAACGTAGGTGTCCCTACGCCCCAAGGACATGCATTTGGCATGTGTGTGACATTAAAGTTTTGGATGTTGTCCAAATCTTGTTATACATGGTCTTGGACTGCTTCAGTATCTGAGGAGTGGTGAATAGTGCTCAATATTGTGCAAATCAGTGAACCTCCCCACTTTGGACTTTATGGTAAAGGGAAGGTAAATAATTAAGCAGTTCAATATGGTTGGACTTGGAAAACTAACCTGAGGAACACCTGCAGTGATGTCCTTGGACTGAGATGATAGATTCCCAACAACCACAATGACCACTTTTGTGTGTTCCACTCAAAATGCTTCCCCCAATCTCAGTTGACTCTAGTTCTGCTAGGGCTAAAGCTTTTTGATGCCAGACTCAGTCAAATGTTGCCTTGACATGAAGGGAAGACTCCTTGATTTCCCCTCTGGAGTTCAGCTCGTCGGTTCATGTTTGGACCATGGCTGTGATTAGATTAAGATCTGAGTGGCCTTGACAGAAGTAGAATTGAGCATCAGACAGCACATTGTTCCTTTGAAAGTGCCACTTGATAACATTGCTGGTGACCTCTTCCATCAGTTTTCCAATGATTAAACATATAGGACAGTAATTGGCCAGATTTGACTTGCTTTTTGTGGGACAGAGAAAGCTAGGCAATTTTCCACACTGTCATGAAAATACTAGTTTTACAGTTGTACCAGAACAGCTTAGCTACGGGCACAGCTAATTCTGGAGCATTAGTCTTCAGTATACAACATTCAATAACGTCATGAATCATCTGACTGGAACCTCAAATTCACATTCCTGCCTCCACTGGTCAAACTTTCACACTCTTGTTCAACAAGAATCTATCTACCTCTGCCTTAAAATATTCAATGACTCCACTTCCAGGAACTTTTAAAGAATGGAACTCCAAAGTCTCACTATCCCTATCACAGAATAAATTTTACCATACCTCTGTTTCAAATCAGTGACAGTTCCTTCTTAAAGTGTGATTGTTAGCGCTGAATGCTATTATAGGAAGAAACATATCTTCCACATCCAACCTGTCAAGTTCCATTACAATCTTATATATTTCAATCAAAACACTTCTTACTCTTGTAAACACCAATGGAGAAAGCCGAGCCTGTCCAACATCTCTTTGTGACACAACCAGCTGATTCTTGGTATTAGTCTGGTATACCTTCTCTGAACTGCTTCCAGTAAGTTTACATCCTTCCTTAAATAAGGTGACCAATACCCTTTACAGGGCTCTAGATGTGGTCTCACCAGCACCCAGTATAACTGAAGCATTACCTCTCCAGTTTTGTACTCAATTCCACTCATAATAAATTATAACATTCTATTAGCTTCCCTAATTAATCTGCATACTAGCCTTCTGTGACTCATGCGTTAGGACACCCAGATCCCTCTGTACCTCATAGCTCGGCACTCTCTCATTGTTTAGATAAATGTGCTTCTTTTGAATTCTTCCTGCCAAAATGGCCAATTTCATATTTCCGCTCATATGCTATTTTGATTTGCATATTGTTGCATTCTGCAAATTAAGCGAACAGTACCAAAACCTAAACTCCAAAAAGCCTCCTATCACAAAGCTTTGTCACCTGACATTATGAAATGTAGAATCAAATCTTGATGAGATTTCAGTACTTTTGTTCCTTCCAGGAGATGCTTCTCTGTATTGATTATTCTGTGTGAAGAACAAATCCTAATGGAATTTGATCCTTACTACCATCTGATATCATGCTCCACTCAGGTGAATTTCTTCTTTCAGGTTTAGCTCTTTTATATATGTAGTTCACAACTTTGCACAAGTGCAAGGTCACTATTAATATGGACAAGTTGAGTGAGTGGGCCATGTCATTCAAGATGGAAGTGGTCAAAGGCAGCAGATTTTTGGGAACACTACCACCTTCAAGTTCTCTTCCAAGCCACTCACCATCCTAACGTGGAAATATATTGCCATTCCTTCACTGTCACTGGGTCAAAAATCCTGTAATTCCCTCACAAATGGCATTATGGGTCAGCGCACAGCAGGTGGATTGCAGCGGTTCAAGAAGGCAGCTCACCACCACCTTCTCAAGGGCAACTAGGGATGGGCAATAAATGCTGGCCAGCCAGCAACGCCCACATCCCACAAAATGAATAAATAAAAAATGATACATGGCAGATGAAATATAATGTCGATAAATGTGAGGTTCTCCATCTTGGTCACAAAAACAGGAAGGCAGAGTATTATCTGAATAGTGATAGGCTGAAAAAGGGGAAGGTGCAACAAGACCTGGGAGTCCTTGTATACCAGTTGCTGAAAGTAAACATGCAGATGTAGCAGGTAGTGAAGGCAGCAAATGGTATATTGCCCTTCATAGTGAAAGGATTCAACTACAGGAGCAAGGAAATTTAGCTGCAATTGTGCAGAGGTTTGGTGAGACCAAACCTGGAGTACTGTATACTGTTTCCATCTCCTTATCAAAGGATAGATGTTCCGACTATGGAAGGGATGTAACAAAGATTTACCTGACTGATTCCTATAATGGGTGGACTGACAAGAGACTGGGTGGTTAGGAAAATATTCACTGGAGTTTGGTAGAATGAGAAGGGGATCCAAAGAGACCTAACAAGTTCTAAAAGGACTAAACAGGGTAAATACAGGAAGGATGTTCCCCATGACCGGGGAGTCCAGGATGAGGGGTCACAGCCTGAGGATATAAAATAGGCCATTTAGGACTGAGATGAGAAGGAATTTCTTCACCCAGGGAGTGGTGAGCCTACGGAATTCTCTGTCTCTCAAAGCGATTCAGGCCAAAATACAATGTTTTCAAGAAGTTATTAGACATCATTCTTAGAGCTGACGGGATCGAAGTGTTTCGGAGAAAGCAGGAACAGTACTGAGTTGGATGATCAGCCATGATCATACTGAGCAGTGCAGCAGGCTCGAAGACCTGAATGGTCTATTCCTGCTCCTACTTTCTATGGTTTACATTCACCTAGGAGATTAAAAACACAATATTCTTTGGAATTTTCCTCCTCATTGGCCTTCCAATGATCAGTCACACAGCTCCTCTGTCTGCAAACTCTAAAACAGGGATGTCTTCCTTCTGTTTATGCCACCAAACTGAACACACCACTTAAGCAACAATCTAACAATGCAATGCACAGCATGATCACAGTGACCTCCGCAGTGTTTTCTACCAGGCTGACAACAAAACTATTTATTGATTGGTACTGTGTTTTGGTTGAACAATTTTGAAACAAATGCATAAAACTGCTACATTAATAGCTTCACCATTAGCTATTTCAACATTAGTTATCATGTATGTGTCCCCTTTTCCTTTCATTGCTGACAGCTCAAGTTGTTGACTCTACAGTGAGCAGGACCATCATTACCTGGTACTCATTTGGCCAGAAGGTGCTCACTGCCAGTTCAGCCCGATGCCATTCGACTCCCTGAGATCCCGTCACATTCCAAATAGGATTTGCAAAAGCTCCCTTGTTCACTCGGACAAAAATGTTCAGTGTTCCTGGGTTCAAGTAATCTTCACTGTACAACCAGTAACTGAAATCAATGCAGTGAGTGTCATTTTCTTTCATCAATGGAAGCAAGAGTCGTGCTTTATCTCCTGGCATATGCTGAGAAGACTCAGCTATTAAGAAGGATCCTGTTGAAAACAAACAAAAAGAAGGAGACTATTATACATTTGACATAACATCACAAAATACTTAAAATATCGCATGCGCCAGATAGACCATATATAAAACTAACTGATGCTTCTTCTTTTTGTATGTCAAACATATGTACATAATGGTTAAATTGACCTGCTCTTTTACAAGATTTCAGACAATGTTTAAGTACTCATTCTTCCAAGAATGCAGCAATACTCTCAGTACAAAACTAGAACTTATCTTCTTCAGATGTATTCTTCAAACAAAGAACAGCTGAGACGGTCTCAAAACTATTTCTAATCATCTCCCAAAACAGAGGGTGCAGCCAAAGTGATAAAAGCATTATTTGTGCTTGTACAGAGATTAAGCAATACCAGAGGCAAATAGCAAATATTGACCATAAGTTTCAACAGCAGTGCAGCCTCACTGTGCCAAACTGAAATGATCAGAATCCTAAAATGAAACAATGCCCAGAAATAATTCCAGTTATTGAGATTTTAAGAGGGACTAGGAAGGGCTGATTAACTGCATCGAACGCCTGCAGTTTATTGATAGTGGGAGCTTCGCATGTGGAGCTAAGGGAGATGAAGGTGAACTGTACAGCCTGCCACGTTGTCAACCTGATATACTAGATAGATAAGGCCTGGGAATTAAAGTGTTTCCAACGCTGAGTTTGAATTGGTCAGTAAAAGTTAGGAGATCTTTAGGACATCAACAATAAGAAACTAGAATGCATGATCTTCAACAGTTCAGTAAGTGCTTGGAATGTTTACGGGGTTAGGGCCTGGGGTGGGAGGGCTATCATAAAAACATCAACACTAAAGGGGCTCAGGGCATCCCAATCAATCAATTGTTGCATTAGTTCAAAAAGATTCACTAAACTGATTTCTGTTATTTTTGCGATAGTCTCAATGGAGATTGTGCTCCAGATAATTGAAGAGAGGCTGCTAGAAGATCTTTTTGGAAATCTGAACAAACAATAACCCCGTTAACTATTTACACTTTTAAATGTGGCACAAAGTCTGCACAACAGCATCTCTCTTCAAAATCTTTCCATCATATACATATTCAAATATTAACCCTCAGATTTACAAGATAAAGAGGCTATCATATGAACAAAGGGTTGAATAGGTTGAGCCTATGCTAGTTGGAATTTAGAAGAATGAAATGTGATCTGTGGTAGGGGGATTGAGTTTAAGAGCCGTGAAGTTATGCTGCAGCTCTATAAAACTCTGGTTAGGCCACGCTTGGAATAGTGTGTTCAGTTCTGGTCACCTCATTATAGGAAAGATGTGGAAGCTTTAGAGAGGGTGCAGAGGAGATTTACCAGGATGCTGCCTGGACTGAAGGGCAGGTCTTATGAGGAAAGGTTAGGGAGCGAAGGTTTTTTCCATTGGAGCGAAGAAGGATGAGAGGTGACTTGATAGAGGTTTACAAGATGATGAGAGGCATAGATAGAGTGGATAGTCAGAGACATTTTCCCAGGGCGGAAATGACTATTACAAGGGAGCATAGTTTTAAGGTGATTGGAGGAAAGTGTAGAAGAGATGTCAGAGGTAGGTTCTTCACACCGAGTGCGGTGGGCATGTGGAATGCGCTGTCTGCAGTGGTAGTAGAGTCAGATACTTTAGAGGCTTTTAAATGACTCTTGGATAGGCACATGGAAGATAGTAAAATGTAGCGTATGCGCTGTAGATGGATCTTAGTAGGATAATAGGTCGACACAACGTCGTGGGCCGAAGGGCCTGTGCTGTGCTGTACTGTTCTATGTTCTATGTTCAATATAAATGATACTGAGGGGATCCCACTCTTTAGATACTAAGGGGATATTTTCACTTGTGGGGCATTCTAGAATTAGGAAATTGTCAGTTAAAATGAGACAAGGAGAATATTTTTCTCTCAAAAGATCCTGCAAGTGAAGACAGTTCAGTATGGAAGGGCAAAATGTATCCATGACAACAAGGTGCAGGGCTGGATGAACACAGCAGGCCAAGCAGCATCATAGGAGCAGAAAGGCTGACGTTTCCAGCCTAGACCCTTCATCAGAAAAGGGGGAGGGGAAGGAGGTTCTGAAATAAATAGGGAGAGAGTGGGAGGCGGATAGAAGATGGATAGAGGAGAGGATAGGTCGAGAGGAAACAAACAGATCGAAGAGGCGGGGATGTATCCATGCTGGCTTGGAGGGCTGTATTGTTCTTTATTCTTTAATAGGCCATTGCTTTGTGGAACTTTCTTCTGGCAGAGACCAGTGCAGCTAGGCTAATTGATGAGTTTGATCAATTTTTGATCATGGGATTGTTACGAGTGGTTTGGGAGGGTGGTAAAGGGACAGACAGTAAATGGAATGAGATCACAAACGTATCAGCTGTGTTGTTGTTGTTATGAAACGGCTGAGCATGCTTTACAGGCTGAATGACCTTTTCTTGCTCCTTTCTCACGTTCTTGTGAATTGGTTCCAGAAAGGCAATCACAATGGCTTCCTCTCACAAATCTCAGGTTTAAATTACATTCAGAACCCAGTGATGTCAACTGCACATTTTAAGGACGATTTGGCACTTTTCAAAAGATTCCCCCTTTTAAAGATTCTCTTGATTAAAGCAAATAAAATTAGTCACCTGAGGGCTGACAGAAAATTAAGTTGAGCACGTTGGTAAGACATTTTAATTATTTGCTTGCCAAATTCCTTCTAGGTATCAAGGGTTAAGATTTGCCCTCAAGCCTAAGAATGAAGCACTTGACTCAGCTGTAGCCCAGTTAATTGCAGAGTAGTCCAATTAATTGCAGAGTAAAAATCTCAGTGCTCCGGGCCAATAATTACACCTAAGAAAGGGTTACCACACCAGAGTAGCATTTCCCATTTCTGGCAGACAAACAACCCTGTGGCTTTTCTGACAGAAAACAAATGATTTAGAAGTTGGAAGCACATTTGCACTATGAGTTTACATGAAATAGGAACACAGTGTGTTACAGCCAGACTGTGAAACTCTTTTAGCCTAAGTGGGCAGAACCAAACATATGAAAAATCTCATTTTAACTGGCAACCTCCTAATTCTAGAATGCCCAAAAGTGAAAATATTCTTAGCACCTAAAGGGTGGGAATCTGTCAGTATCTCTTTATCATAAGAGAAGATCACATTACATTCTTCTAAATTCCAATTGGCATAGGCTCAACCTACTCAACCCTTTGTTCATACGACAGCCCCTTCATCCTGTAAACCTGAGGGTTTGAATACACTAATGCAACTGTCATATAATGTAGATGTGAAGTCAACTGACAGTCCAGAGAATTTCAGCATTGGAGGTGACAGGATAGTAATTTTTATTACGAATGGGAAAGAATGCCAACCAGGGTTATCAGGAGAGTCCACAGGCAAGTCAGCTTAGTCTACCATTGGAAATCCCATCTCAGTTTGAGCAAGGCCTCATTGCTAGGCTGTGCACACAACAGAGGCACTACACTGCTGTGTCAGGACAATATCAGGTAGCCTAGAGACTGACCCAGCTTGCAGATGATGCAGCATCAAGCCCAGACAACAATCATTCCTAATTATGCTTCTGAATCCAGAATAGCACTCCCGAATCCACAAGAATAATTTTAACATCCATTCGGGCCTCTTTTATACCAGCACGTTACACCAAGTAGGCAGTCCACAGCAGGTAATTTGATCAATAGGTCATTAAAACTGCAGCAGATCCTTTACACCAAGGATATTTACAAGGAAGACACAAAGAGAGCTTGACAGACAAAGCTAACGTCTGTATTACTAAAATCTTAAAACAACATTGTCAGTATTCAACTTCATGAAGAGAAAATGAACAAAGCTTCATGCAAAAATGAAATGCACGCGTAAGCAACATTGTTTTGTAAACTGCATATATCCCAATGAAACTGACTGCATATTTTAAAATTAAACTGTTTGGTTTACCAATGAAAACAAAGATTAGACCACTGCCAAGCAATTCAAACACAACTATATGATAACTTTACAGCGTAACTGGAAGATAGACTACTTAATCAGACACTTTAAAATAAATGAGTTATTAAATAATCTTTAAGCATGGCCTGATTGGTTTTTAACATAACCACATGTATTGAAAATAGTTAGATTGTAGACAATAAATGCTGATAGCCCTCAAGCTGTAACATCAGGCAAACTCCAGATAGCATTTGCATCAATATCATAACGCCATTACATCTGTTCAAAATTTCAACCTCCAACCATACAAATAGCAACAGCCACACATGTGCCCATCTACTTCAGAGAAACAGGTAGACCATTTCCAAAACCAGATTGGCTTGATGAGACAGCAAGAACTGCAGATAACAAGGTGTAGAGCTGGATGAACACAGCAGGCCAAGCAGCATCATAGGAGCAGGAAAGCTGACGTTTCAGGCCTAGACCCTTCGTCAGAAACGGGGGAGGGGAAGGGGGTTCTGAAATAAATAGGGAGAGAGGGGGAGGCGGATAAAAGATGGATAGAAGAGAAGATAGGTGGAGAGGAAACAGACAGGTCAAAGAGGCGGGGATGGAGTCAGTAAAGGTGAGTGTAGGTGGGGAGGTAGGGGAGGAGATAGGTCAGTCCAGGGAGGACGGACAGGTCAAGGGGGCGGGATGAGGTTAGTAGGTAGGAGACAGGGGTGGGGCTTGAGGTGGAAGGAGGGGATAGGTGGGAGGAAGGACAGGTTTGGGAGGCGGGGACGAGCTGGGCTGGTTTTGGGATGCGGTAGGGAGAGGGGAGATGTTGAAACTGGTGAAGTCCACATTGATACCATTGGGCTGCAGGGTTCCCAAGCGGAATATGAGTTGCTGTTCCTGCAACCTTCGGGTGGCATCGTTGTGGCACTGAAGGAGGCCCAGGATGGACATGTCGCCTGAGGAATGGGAGGGGGAGTTGAAATGGTTTGCGACTGGGAGGTGCAGTTGTTTATTGCGAACCAAGCGTAGGTGTTCTGCAAAGCAGTCCCCGAGCCTCCGCTTGGTTTCCCCGATGTAGA